GCCGCCTCTGGGAAGAAAGGGCGAAAAAGATGACTTGAAGCAGTTATTGTTGCTGTATGTTAGTGTGCCCTGAATATCCATCTAAATGGTAATGAAATGCAAACACAGTTGATAGATGATAAGGTGAAAATGATAGAACGTATGGCATCTGATACGCTGGGAGGAACACAAATCAGCCAACCTAATGGCATTTTACGGGCAGCACTGTGCAGATTGTAGCTACACAAGACAAATAATAGCTGAGCTGGGTGATCATTACTTCCATAATGCCATGTAGCCAGCCTGCCGAACAGTCACATTCTCACAGTTTAATATTGTTCTTCACACGTTTTTTTTCTTCTCATTACACGAAATGAGCATCGTAATGCAGTGTGTGCAGGAGACGAATGCAGGATTTCCCTGAGGGAGATTCCTCATACAAAAGCTGTAGCTCTCTGTATTGTATGGGATGGTTTTGTAGTCATCAGAGATATCCAGGAACAATGTAACTGGTAAGAATGTAGAACTGGCCACAGGATGTTCAGCTGACAGATTTTCTGGCAGGATCTGACTGGTATTTTTTACACTTATCAAACAGATATAACAAAATGTTTTCAATTATATATTTAACATACCAAAATATACCAGAAATTAGTTCATTGTTTGAGTTTACATAGCCTATATTGTTTAATATGCTTAAGTAGATTTAAACCCTAACTAAATGACATTTAGGTTCTTAAAACAGTGCGGGGCCTATTTTATAATTTTCAGAGCTTTTGGCCCTGCGAATGTTTGCTCTGTGCGAATGGATGCACAAAATTAATATTCTTGTATATTTTCTTGAGTTCTTGGGTATTTTTTCTATAAATTAAATGTATTTTTGAATGCCATCTTGTAATACTGCATTATGGTCACTAGTTGGAGCTGAGGAGCAAATTAATACTTATTTCAATGAAAGGATTGCTTGTAGGGAGGGTTTAGTGTCATGGAGGTATAGAAGGGAATCATGGGCATAGAGAGGGGGCTTCTCTAGTGGGCCAATCTGAATTCCTCTAACATCTTCCTATTCTGTCAGGAGAATAGTGAGAGGTTGAAGAACTGGGGCAAAATCCAAAGTAAGCTAAGTATACAGTTGAAATACAAATATGGGGAGTTGATTTGCCTGCCAAATGATGATTTGTATTGCTGTCCATCAAGTTATGAAATTTACACAGCCCTGCTAGACTGCAAGGCCTTGTTAGTGACTTGAGTTTTTTCTACTACAGTTAGGCAAAACAGCTTGGTCACCCTCCTGCCCCAAGCCTGTGATTAGATAGTGACGGAGCAGTAGACAGCATGTAGCACAACTTCTAGTCAGCAGTGCACGCTTCTGTACAGAGGATTCCAAAAGGCTGATACCAATTCAAATTCAGGTGCTTACAAGGCTGGTCCTATAATGAGCTATTGCCACAGATGGCATCTCTTTTGGGCACGTCGAGGGGGTGGCAGGCAGAGCGGCTTAATGTTTTCAGTGTGCCTGCTGCCCCCTTTATGGCCAGATTGCTCAGAACCAGGCAGGGAGATGTGTAAGGGCCATACACATATCCCTGCTCAACTCATAGCAACCTGGGATGCTCTAGCTGGCATCCTACCCAGCTCCTGCCAACCAGTGCCGGCCAGAGCTGGGCAGGGAGATGATGCAGAGGCCCTGCCGACCCCCACCCAGATGCGTGCAACCGTCCTGTCACCTCAGGCACTTTTCGTTGCACTCATAACTAATTAATATGTTTTTATATCTTTTCTTTTGTATGTTTTTCTTTGCATTTTTTTGGGCCGTAGGTGGTTGTCCTGGAATCTTGTCCCCTTACAGGTCAAAATCAGGCCCTGCTTCATTAAGCAAACATGCATTTTAATTACACTATGGGGGTTATTCACAAAAGGGTGAAGAGTTTGGAGAAGGCAGGAGAAGTGAACAATCTAGGCCAACATAGCTGAACTAGAAAGTGAGCTGAATTGGAGAATTTTTCCAAATCAGCTATGTTGGTCTAGATTATTTACTTCTCCTGCCTTCTCCAAACTCTTCACCATTTTGTGAAAAACCCTGAATGTTTGAATTGGAAGATGCAACTTTCCTTCTTTTATCACCATGCCTATGCTTGAATGTTCTGTTCTATACAGCAACAGTAGATTTAAACTGTATCTAAACCCTAAATAAAGCTGTAATGGATTGCAGCTTGCCAGTCCTTAGACAAGGTGTCACATTTCTTTTTCTCTAGGTTTCATTTTTACCAGGTAATCCTGCAAATAACACACTTCCTGCCTCTGGGTGGCTACACTCACTCACTCCACTGTATCCATGGATGTAGCCGTGGTTGCCCTACAGGAGAAATGTCAAATATGTCTGGTTTCATTCCTCTTCATTACATGGGATGTGAAAGAATTAATATTTCACACAAGAAAGATAACATTATTTTTGTTTCAAATTCATGTCATTTCTAGAAAGGTCCACAGATATTTTCTGTACATGCTAAAATATAAAAGCTAATTCAGTTACTGGTAATCTGCAATGCAATCATTTCTAGGATTTATTCATTCTTTACCTTTTTGCCTAGATTATCATAAACCATTTATCAATCCAGTTTTGTTTTACAAAACATTATTCATTTATTAAGCTGTCTTTGAAGAGTTCTATTTTTTTCTTTATTTTTGGGTCTAAATAAAAAATAAAGCTATAAATATAGAGTTGTATACATATTCCAAATATTTCAAAAACTGCAGGAGCAACAGTACTATTCAATGAAGGCCGAATTAATAAAATAATGTACACATCAAATATATGATACCGTAATAAATGGTGAATCACGATCTAGGCAAAGCTAAAGTGAACCAGCCTCAAGTGGACTTGTGCATGATTTTGAATATTCAGTCTTAAATTATGATAAATATGTTGGCGTAGCCCTGAAAAATTTATATGTGCCCCATTTTTTTGCTTTATGTATTCTGTCTGGGACATGACTCTAGGCTTGAGAATTAAAGCCCAATTGAACTTTCAGTTCATATAAGCTAAATACATTTGAGGTGCATCAAAACAAAGATTAGGGTATAGGCCTATAGCTTGCAATCAGCAAAGCTCATGCCCCATGCTGATTGGGTAGCTCTAACTCAGAGCAGGAAACATGTCAGACCCTAGTTTTTCTCTTTTACTCTTGAAAGTCGATGTAAGCCCAATCTATAATATGTTAAAGTAATTGTTAAAGTAAAGTAAAAAGTTGTTTTCAATCTTTTCATATATGTATCTTTCCCTATTATTGTTGTTATTATTATAATACCTGGTGATTCTGCCACAAAGATTATTGTTAAAGGGTTTCTAAACCCTCCGTTTTTTCCCCCCTATATCAACTGCTATCAAGCAGTAGATATAGGCAAAAAGTTAAAAAAAAGTTTAAACTCACCCTGTTTTCGTTGCGCGCTCCCGTCCGAGAATCCGAAACTGCTTGGGCGTCTGCAAAGCATCTTGGGGCGGGCACATGCGCAGTTTGGATTTTCGGCCGGGAGACGAGCAGAGACGCAAGGTAAGTCTATGGACCCGCATGCAGACACCGCTGGATCGGAAGTGCCTGCAAGCAGAGAGGAGTCAACGCTGGATCGGAGAGCCGCCGCACCGCTGGAGGGACAGATGAAAACATCAGGAAAGAAGAGGAAGATCGGATTAAGAAACCTCATTTAAGGTAAGTGCTAACATTAAGGGAAGGGAAACATTTTTTTTACTTTAATGTCACTTTAAGGAACTTTCTGTTATGGAGTAACAACTGTCATGATACATATTCATTTGATCAATCCACTGTACATAGGGGGAAGAGAGCAAGAGTCTTACCAATGGAGCAAGATACAGTAAAGTTACAGGCTTTAAATAAAGATCAAGTATGACCCTTGACACCTGTAACGAGCCCCTTGCTCGCTCGGTTCCACTGTCCCGGCACTCCTTAGATTTCAGACCGCAGCGTCTGATATTTCAGACATCCGATAATTTGGGATTCGAACTTCAGCTATGTGCTGTTCGTATCCAGTGGTAATAGCTCAGAACAAACACCCGGCAGGCTGTATGTAAGTTCAAACAGGAATCACGTTTATTGGATGCACACACACACTTAAATAAAACAACAGTTTGAAGGTGGCCCAACCGACCACCTTCCTATTGGTCAACTGCAAACTATCCTCCAGTCCTCACCTAGGTCCTCTCGGCCATGCAAATGAGGACTCGAAACAGGGCAAATAGGGATTGGTCCATAGTCTCTAGGAAGGAGGCTAGCCCTCAGGCTCCTCCAGCAGCCCCAGTGACGGTTCAGTCCGTCACAACACCCTACTAACGTTTAGGGTTCTGCCAAATAGTATGCATAAGCTGTAAAGTAGGGAAGCTTAAGCGGGCAGAGAAAGTCATGTGCTTTTAGATAGCCATATAAATCACGTTTGTATTACATTTTTCAGAAGGGAAATAACAGAAGAGGAGGTGGCTACACTGGGCTGGTCAGCAAAGGGGTCCCTCCAAGACATTAATGTTGGGTCTGGGCAGAAAGGTGTTATAGCTTAGGGCTTGGTACAGCTACAGTATACCACTTAACGTTTTCAAAGTCAAGCACTATGAAGCCATCACTTTGAATCTCAGTAGTAGAGTTTGAGTACAAAAGCTGAACCCAGCACACAAAGGTAGGACCTAAGCCAAAACAGACGAGGACTGCCCAGTGGTAGCTCCACTCAATACTATCAAAGGCCGTAGTGGCAGCTAACTATATCTTTTTTTACTACTTTACCTTTGCAGTGTCATCTTTTTTCCCCAGAATAACAATTCTGTCCATCATTCCTTACTCTCTCACAACCTTACCTTCTTGCGCTGCTGATGTGAACAGCCAAGTGGCAGGCAGGGCAAGAAAATACATTTAAAGCTTCATCATTGGTATAACCAGGCATAGCTGTGATTTTTCCTGTTTTCTTCCTTACTAGTTTTAGGTTAATGACGGTATTGTGATGTATATTTTGTCTTTCAGGCGGTCTGGCATTGGCACAGGTACTATTCTTCTATGTGAAATATTTAGTTCTGTATGGTCTTCCGGCACTTCTTATACAGCTCGATGGTCTAAATTCACCTGCTTTGCCTCGCTGCGTGAGCTCAATGTACAGCTTCACTGGCATATGGAGGTTAGTTATTCCTAATAACCATTGTTTATGGTATTTTTTTATAAACCAATTTCAACCTTAACTTTCACCTAAGTTATCCCCTAAAAAAGAAGCATAATTATTCTTAATGCTAAGCTCTAGGCAAATATAAAAAACACAGATTAATGCAACTCTGTAAGTACCTGAATTTTACCTGGTATAAGTCCTCTGCAGTCCCTTTACAGCAGGGCTGGAGTGTGAGAGGAAGAAGCAGCACATGGAGCCCATCAGTTCATGTGCTGACAAGAAGCAAGCTGATAGGAAGAGAGAACAGAGCGACAGAGAGATAAGCTCATCACTGTGCTGCTTCTCCTTTCCCTGTCCACTCACAGGCTGGGGTGGGTGCTGGACATCATGAGCTTAGAGAAAGTGGGTTGAATTATGCTGGTCATCAGACTGAGGGCATCTAGCGGCAAAAAATATCACCATGAACATCGGAGTAAGAGCAATAATTATAGGGACATCAATAACTGATAACACTAAATTGATGAGCGGTAAAAGCTTTTAAATCGTTGCACAACTTTAGGCATGGTAGTTTTTTCGATTTCACGGGCGCACGCAATTTTAAAGCTTGACATGTTTGGTGTCTTTGGTGACATGTTTTGGGTGCCGATAAATGTTTTATAACATAATGTAGGGAAAACAGTTTTTTATTTTTTATTTTCGGTCCTTTTTTCATTATATAGTAAAAAATCAGTGGTGATTAAATACCACCAAAACAAAGCTCTATCTGTCCCCACAAAATGGTTTAACATTTATTTCAGTACAGCGTTATATGACTGAATAAATGTCAGTCAAAGTACCTCAGCACTGAATACTGAAAAATGGCCTGGCCAGGAAGGGGGTTTGATACCCCGGTCAGCAAGTGGTTACTTCACTAAAAAGTACATCACAGATATGTTTTCAGTGACTTCAGTCAAGACTAAAGACACTGCTTGAGCTAATCTTGTTAAAGGAGCTGTCTGAATTGGTCTATCCTTAGTATTAGCTCTGGAGATCGTTCTCAGAGCCCTCTGGATTAAGATGGCTGCGGACTAGCCTAGAATGTGACCTTCATGCCCTGGGCTGTGCATTGTAGGGCTTTCCAGCCCTTCATGTACTATGTTAGCTAGCTGGAGAGCGCTCTCCAGGTCCATGGCAAAGCCACTGGTGTGACTCAGTTCTCTGGAGACTTACATAGTGAATAAGGCTGGTCAGGGTGAAATACTACTGTAAAAGTATCCTGCTCTAGCTTGCAGGACTATGCTTGAATGTTACCTTCAGTTACTGGGCTCTGCGGCCGGTTTGGCTGCAGTACTGAAAACAATTTGACTGTTGTGGTGTTGCACACTTTTGAAAATTTTTCTGACACTGCCATCTTGTTGTGATAACGTGTTAACTGGGAGCAGAGCACTGATGTCATCCACTAGGTGGAGTGTTGTGCGCATAGGCTGCAAGCTCTTTCTCCTGCCACTCAGCCCAGACAACGCATCTTCCTGTTACTGCTTCTGCTTTGTGGATGACCAGGTCTCTGGTTTCATCTCAGTGCCTGCCTACAGTGACCTGGCTTCCTTCAGCCACCTGTAACCCTTACCAGCACTAACTGCTTGGGTGTGAGTATGCAAAATCTTGCTTCATTTTCGGCCTGGTTTGTTTTTGCTAAGCGGTACCACATGACATTGTCATATACACACAGAGAACAGTCCTCGCTGCAGCGAGTATCCTCAACCTATACTTCTACATTACTTTTAGAGATGATTTCCCAGTATCCCCTGATGGCACTGATGCCTATATCCTGGACACTGGGATCCCTATTACTTTAGCAACACTCTTTGTAGTACAATTTCCACATCTGTTGGATATCTTAGTGGCTGTTGCCCACCCCTCAGTGGGACTGCTTTTGGATGTCACAAATGTATAAGAATACAACAAAAACAAGGGGCGCCCTAGTGTAGATGGATTTTATTAAGAAGTGGCAAAAAATTTAAATGAGTAGATGACAATGAGCTTTCGAAAAACAAGGAATAATCATCATAGAGCAACCAAGATGAAATGAATGAGAGCTGCACAGGCGATGCTGTGTGCCAGCAAGGAATGCCTGTGTTGACGCGTTTCCGGTGTCACGCCCCCTTCCTCAGAACAATATGATGATGATTATTCCTTTTCGAAAGCTCATTGTCATCTACTCTTGTGAGTATCATTTCTAATTTTTTCCACTTCTTAATAAAATCCATCTACACTAGGGTAGGCGCCCCTTGTTTTTGTTCTCTTCATAGATACCACAGTCTCCCTGGCTGGGGCAGCGACCTGTAGAACTCCTACATGTGAATCCCTCAGTGGAGCGGTCTTTTCTGGCGCTTTTTTTTTTCTTCTTCAAATGTATAAGAATTCCTATGCACATCTGAAGAGTTGCTTGAGGGACTGTAAGGTTTTTTACTATGGTATAAGAACCGACCATATGATTGTAATATGCATTCCCTTCCACTTAGCACTCACTTGAATCTTATTGAGTTGACTTGTCATCCACAGGACAGAAGCAGCGAAGTCTGCATGACATTAGCTAAAATCTTTGCAATGTATAGAATTGTTCTTGAGGGGATTCTTTTTCAACGAAACTATAGGCAAACCATTAGCTGAGAAACAGTATAGTCCAGGTTGCATTTACCCCTTAAGCTCTGCCAGTTCTCCCGGTGCACGGTGCTAGGCTGTACCAAGGACCATGACATGATGAAAGTGTTTTGTCTGTACCGATTACAATTACTCCATTCCGACATTAACTGCATAATTCCGTCAGTTTCAAATGCCAAGATTCAAACATGTCTACGTTGACCTTTAGCGGCCGCAGCCGGTAGCTTTGTGCGAAATATTGCCAACATGTTGGTAGTTTGTTAACCTTAAATTACACAGCAGTTTCTGTAAGTTCTCTCTTCCATCCATGGGAGTACGGATGAAGGTTTACAAAGTGCTTCTGTCAAGACGGGCTGAAATATGCACCAAGACATGACTTCCACCACCTCAATGAGCCTAGAGCCCAGCAATGTTCACCAGAAGATTCCCTTTTCTAGATTTCAAAGTCACTTTGATAATGATAACTCATTAGTCTCCGATCTCTCCAGCTACTTTAGTGTAATAGACAGAACGTGCTGAAGCCTTCTGACCTTCACTGACATTGGCTCTACACATCACAATTTACCTATTAATTACCAGAGAAAACATGGCATGCTTCCTATAGGGGAGAGAGAGGTGAAGTGTGGGTGAGAGGGTTGTGCCCCCACCTTCATACAGACATTGACAGATAACATACTGTGAGTGTATTCCAGGTCCTCATTGTTTTACATGATATGCGGTGTGTGAACACTGTTCTAACACAATAAACAGCAGCATATAGATGCATAATAACATTATGGTCTTGCTGGTGTTCTCATTAATAATGGAGAAGAATAAGTGATGTGCCTTGAAGATGAGAAGGGGGGGGGGTGTTATTCCATTTTCACCTCTTACTGCTCCTAATTTTCTTACTTATATTTAAAGTACAATTGTGCTTATTTTTTTTCTTTATCTAATTCTCTCCACCCTCTGCTCAGAGCCCGCAGCCTTTTACCTAAAAATGGCAGCTTCATATTGCACATGTATGATGAAGTCCCATTTATTCCTTTGGAGAGCCAAACTCATGTCATATGCAAGGGGTGGTTTTGAGTATAGCTTTTCCATAGCAATAGATGGGGCTGTGGCTCTCTCTATAGTCAGAGCCAGCTGTGCCTGCCCCCTCCCCTGTCTGTCCCTCCAATCAGCGCTAGGAGAACAGAGAAGGGAGTGGTAAATCCCTGCGGGGAGTGGTGACTGATAGTCAATGCTCTCTGTAGGGAGAAGACCGTGAGCACATGCCGGCTCTAAGTATTAGGAAGATTACATTTTACTCTCCAAATACTTCTCCTTTAACAGGACTGGAGGAGAGACAGGTGAGAATAGCAAATAACAGAATTATAATCTACAAGAATCTCTATGCACTTCCTCTGCTTCATCATGTTAATGCATGCACAACCCGTATTGTAGACTAGATTAAACAGAACTTCTTGCCTTGGCCTTGTTCCCTGTAAGTTAAAGCCAGGATGTGCTATTCAGTGAGCATTGATTTGCTGCCCACACTACTGCTTTGTGAATAGAGTTTATGAATGCTTTGGCAAGCATGAGGTGAATGCGGAGTTTGTTTAGAAGGGCCGCTTTCAAAATGCTTCTAAATTGCAAGCGTTTTTTTTCCAGCTGTGTTAGATAGGAATCGAAAACTTACATAGGCCTGACTCAACTAAGCATCAACTCCCACACACAGCAGCACAGAAACAGGGAAAGAAAATCTCTTAATACGTAAGCTGTTGTTCTATCTACAAACTAGCTACTGAGAATATATTTGTGCCTGTTCAATAAGGCAATGCAAAAAAAACTGTGTTTGTATCAGAAGCGTTTTCTGCATGCTGTGGGCTTGTGTGCAAGATCATAAGTTGGGCTCCCTTCCTCAAGAAAAGTAAATTACACTAATGAAGCTAGGGAAATGGAGATTATAATTACACTGTGTAATTATACCCCCTTTTCCCCAGCTTCACTAGTAGCAGTGTTAACAATTACGACTCCAAACCCCCACCCCACATTCAGTGCTGGTAGTGTGCATTGTGCACAAACCCCCTGGGCTTCCCACTGCCTCGAGCATAATTAGCTGCAACTGGCAAGTCAAAGTTAGTACCTCCAAGACTCCATGCTGTCTCCTTCTGTGGCGCCTACTGGGTCTAATCATGTCAAAACCGGAACCTTTGGGCAGACGTCAAAAGGAGATTGCTCCACATCTCTGCCAAGTCCTGCCATACACTGACTGGGAGAAGTAGGGACTTGGTATCTAAAAGAAGAGTAGCCCTGGTGGCTGTTCCACATTCAAGGCAAGTAGTGGAGTGTTGGGCATATAACCCAAGGGACACCCCTCCAGGTCCTGACCGGGCCCACCTTTTTCCTGGACC